ACTTCCAGGCCATCGTCATCTCTCTCAAAGAGGAATTCTACACCAAGGCTGAAAGCCTCATTGGAGTCTATCCTGAGGTAGGGCGGGCCTGGCTCAGGAGCCAGTCCCACTCTCTGCCTGACTTCCCAGGGCAGGAAGGGAAGACTGCAGTAGAGGGGCAAAGGGGAGGGGGAGCTTAGGAATCAGGTCCTAAATAGCCATCTGGCTTTTTGGAGCCCTGCCCTGGAGGCTTAGCCAGCCCATTTGGGTAGGGCCATTGAATATGGGGATAAGTAGAAAGGCCAGGCAGTGGAGAAAGGAGAGTACAGAGGTAGGCAGGGAGCAAAGGCACATGGGACTCAGCACATCCTCTCACACCCAGAGAGAACCATTGCCTGGGCTTTGGGCAGGTGTGTAGGGAGGAGGGGTTGAGACCCTTGGTCTAGACCCCTCTTAATTCTCTTCTTACAATTTCATTTTTCTTTTTCTCCCTCCTCCTTCAGCAAGGGGACTGTGTGATCAGCAAAGTCCTGACCTTCGACCTCACCAAGTACCCAGATGCCAACCCCAACCCCAATGAGCAGTAACAGTAATTCTGCCCTTCCGCCCTGTCTGGATCCCTAAGCTGCCTCTCTCCCATTCTCTGGCTATTTGGCTCCCAACCTTCTGCTCCCTCCTGGCCCTGTTTGGTATAGTCATGGGATTTAGGCACGGCTATCAAGTACGAAGAGGAACAGAGGTGATGTTAGGTCTGAAGCAAAAATTCATGAGCTGCAGGGAACATCCTAGCCTCTGGAAGGAGGTGCTGAGCTGAGCTAACCTGAGCTAAACAGGGCCATCTGTCCATTTTCCCCTCCCAGACCTCTCCTTCACACACATAGTCATGGGTCCTTTGGGCCTTTTGCCCTGTGTGTGTGTGTGTGTGTGTGTGTGTGTGTGTGTGTGTGTCCATGTGCATGTGAGTGTGTTTGCAAATTAATAAAAGATATTGGAGACTTGTTTGAAGAGGAGCCTAGGCTGAATATGATTCCAAGAGAGCTTAGGATGACGGCACCCCAGAACCGGGCAAAGGTACTCAGGACTTCATAGGAGTCTTAGGCAGTTACCAGAAATTGTCCTCATTCACTCATTCATGTACTCATTCATTTGTGTATTCATCAAACACATACTGAATGCTCTTTATTTGTCAAGCTCTATACCTAAAATACTGAGATGATCTCTATCCTCCTGGTGAGGAGATGCAGTAGATTTATAAGTTACTGTGGTTAGCCAGATGTCATAAATAATTTGAGAGGAGGAGGATCACCTCCAGGTTTCCTGGAGAGAAAGTCTTGTTTGATCTGGATTCTTGACAAATTGGAGGATTTGATCAGGCACTAGGAGCAGAGCATGGGCTCTGGGGACAGAAAGTTGAGTTCTGGTCCCGATTTTTATCACTTAATACTTGTTTAACACTGGGAAAGTTATTTGACCTTTCTGTGCCTACACCCTCATCTGTAAAATGCGGCTAAAAATATTACCTACCTCATAGGATTTAATGATGTCATCTCTCACTAGAGGCCTTATCTATGTGTGGAAGACCACTAGTGCCGATCCCTCAAAATACAGCCTTTTCATGCCTGGAACATGAGGGCTTCTGACCCCAGCTGTTAGGAACGGAAGGAACCTCCAAATCTGGAAGGTGCTGAATGCCCTGGATACTGGAAAAGTTCCAGGGTGATAATAGGATTTACCTGGTAAGTGGAGGGCCTGAGGAATCTATAGCTCAACCATGTATAACTGGGTGCCTGAGCCCCAACCTAGGTTGTAAGGAACTAGGGGGAGAGGTAACCTGGGCCATATCTCAGCCTAATGTGTGAGTTTCCTGTTGGAACTAACTTCATTAGCTGTAAGGACTGTGCAGAGGCAACAAAGCCTGGTGCAGTGAGTTCAGCCTTTACTCATTTCATATACATCATCCCATTTACCGTAATCTATATATTGCTTTTTTGTTTTTTAAAAGTTAAATCAGGGCTGGGAATGTTCCTCAGTGGTAGAGCACATGTTTAGTGTGTATGAAGCCCTGGATTTGATCCCTAGCATTTCCTAGAAGAGCTAATTACACAAGTAATGCATGAATCCATTCTCTTTAAGAAATTAGATTATTGCAGATAAGGGTAGCCTCATTTGACCACTCCTCCTGCTCCTTCCCCTTTTCATACTGCTGTTATGCTTGCATTTCTATCTACACTTAGTTTTAATATTTTTATACACATATGAATTCCCTGAAATTATTGTCTAATGCAAATGGTACTTTAAATTCTTCTCCAATTTGCTTTCTTTGCTTAACAACACTTTTGAGATTTGTGCATGTTGCTAAGTGTAGATCAGCCCATCCTCTAATTGCTATATAAGTTGCCATCATGTGATTCTACCACATTTACTTATTGTGATGGACATTAACTATTTTCAGTTTTTGCTATTATAAAATACTACATAGGAGCATACCTGTACCTGTATGAAAGTTTGTGTGTGTTTGAAAGTTTACCTAGGGTTAATTCCTAGAGATGAAATTGCAGTCATAGGATATTTATCTATTTGTTTCTGATCAACATTTCCAAATTACCCTCCTATACTATTTACTCAATATTTTTCCTGAGGTGATCCAAGGTCTAACATTACCTATCTATGTCAGCTTCATCCTAAGTAGTGATAGCTGTGAAATCATGGGTTTGATGTGCTTATGTACTTTTCTAATACATATTAAAAGGCATAATTAAGCAAAATAAAATTGTCTGTGTTCAACCAAAGGAGTCACATACCACCAGTGGTACATATGCCATAATTTGGCAAATGCTGGCACAGTTTGGGGATCAGACCTGGTTCAATCCTAGCTGTGAAAACAGGCATGTTACTTCACCTCTGAGCCTCATTTTTCTCTTATTTTGCAACAGCAAAGGGAAAGCAACATTAAATATATTTGGAGCAGTTTGGCTGGTGTATCTAGATCACAACTTTTTAAAGGTAGAGATTGCTATTTTCCCCACTTTAAAGATAAGAAAACTGGACTGGACTGCTAAAGTGGCTCAAGTGGTAAGAACGCTGCCTGGCAAGCGTGAGGCCTTGAGTTCAAATCCCAGTGCCACCCCCCCCCAAAAAAAAAGGTAAGAAGACTGAGGCCCCGAAAGGTTTAAGTGACCCATCTACCAGATAAACAGTGTGAGCTTGAACCCAAGTCTTCCAATTCATTCTAGTGCTTTTTCCACTGTAAAGGTGTTATCAACCTTGGCTGTACAGCAGAATGATTTGTAAAGCTTTTTTTCATTTTTAAAAAAACTGTATACACAGGTGAAAAAATAGTACAGAAGGGCTTATAAGGAAAAGCAGCAGTTCCCTGCTGTACCCCCATATCCAAAGGATGTCGAGCTCTTTAAATGTTAATAACTTTGGTCCCACCTTTGGAAATTGATCCAATAGGTGTGGATAATAACCCGGATAACTAACCCTCTACCTCACAGGATAGAAAGGATTACATGAAATGCCTTGGGCTGAGACCATGGCACACAGGGGGAAAAATGTACTACAAAGGAGCTTCAAGGACTTAAGTCCTTAGGATCAGGACAGTGAGATGACTTACTGAAATTCCAGTGGTTTAGTGGCAGAGCCTAGACCTTCACTTGGATCTCCTTTGTGCTTGCTCACTGCTCTCTCTTCATGTCTCTTCTGTCATCCCAAGGCATCACATGTCAGTGAAGGGTGTGCTTCAAGGAAGGCAGACATTAATAGTGTGTTACTAAGAGCATGCTGGCTCTGAGTAGAAGCTCTATGACTAAGAAGAACTTGATTGACTCCCTTACACTCTGAATCCAGTACTCCACAATAGTATATTCCTTCATTTGGGCACTTCACTCTGGAAATCATAGTGTTGGGACACATTAGGAACACAAAGATAGTCAAATCTTTATCCTACTTTTGAGGAACTCATTGCCTAGTTGAGGCATTTCATAAGAACAGCTATTAACCATATGGTGTCTGCTAGTAACAGGAGGAGCATGTAGGGGTTGATACCTGAACTGAGACTTGAGGAGCTGGTAGGAATTTGCTGCATGAACAAGAAGGAAATCCCAGATAGTAGAAAGTATGCACAAAAACCTGAAGGCAAGAAAGAAAGCAAAGTATAAGGACTCCTGGGGTAAACAAAGAGCAACAAGAAAAAGCTAGAGGTACTTAGGACCAGATTGGAAGAGGGTTGTAAGTTCTGGATGGAGTTTGGATTTGTTTTATGGGATAGTGTTTCCCATACTGGCTGTATACCAGAAACAGATGGCCATTCTAGGCTCTGGCCTCGTAAACAGTTGCAGCAAATGGGGTGGGGCCTTAATCTCGTGTTTATAAAGGTCATATGAGTAGTGTGCAGCAAGTTTGGGAACCATACTTAAGACTGGGAGAGCGGTGAAACCAGTTTTTAAGTAGAGGAGGCTCCAGATGAGATGTGATCTTAACCCATTTTTGGCCAGGCAGGGTGTGAATTGATTAGTTAGCTGTTCATGCTGTGTGCACATGTGCCTGCAGTTTCTCTTGTTATTCACCTCTCACATTATACTTGCTTATTTTGTCTCTGAATAAGCTGTAAGCATGACAAGGATGATCCTGGGATATCTGCTTACTGGTATAGCCCCTGCAAAAAGCACAGTGCCTGACACAAAATAGGCACCCAATAAAATTTCTGAATGAATGGATGCATGAGTGAATTTGAGAGGAAGAGAATGAAGATGGAAATTAGGAAACTTGAGAATACCAGGATGCCTGCTCTAGACGAGTGCAGTAGGAATGGATTCAGGGTGATAACGTGTGAGCCATTAAGATGATGAACTGGACTTGGTGACTGGTTATTGAATGTAGAGGTTGACAGGATAGAATGAATACCCATGAATAGCCTAATATTCCTACCCTATCTCAGTTGTCTCTTTACTCATCTATCTGTAAATCAGAATCTCCTTCTAGCACCTGAAACCCTTTCCTCAAATTAAACATTTTGTTTGCTGTATGGTGTTGTTCCCCCCACCTACACCATTGATTCATCCATCCAGTTCAATAAATCTTGACTAAGCACCTCTGTGTGCAGTGAGGCTTTTCCAAGCCAGGACTCTGACTCCCTTTCCTACCTCAAGAGGTTTTTTTGAGGGCTTTCCCAGGTAAGATTCATACCCCTTATTAAATACATAGTGAAATGCCCAGAATGTCAGACCTATAAGGAAGTTAGAGACTGCCCAACCCCCACCTAAGACACGGAGGGAATTATTTCCCAAGGTGCCATTGCTAGGCAGTGTTGAAGCCAGCAGAACTGGAACCCAAGTTTTCTTTTCATGCCACCTCTATCGCCTTGATCTTTCCCATTACAAGATCAGGATAAGCAGAGGTGGTCAGGGAGAAGGTGGGGACTTAGGTTGAGCCTTGAAGGTTGATGTACAGGATAGGCTATACAAAATGCTGCCAATTACACTGCCACCTTCTGTAAACCCTCAGCAAACCTGCCATGCCTGCAGTTCCCTTCTAGGGGGTTTCTTTAGCATTAGTCTCCATGCTCTGTACCATTGTGACCTTCATAGTCCTGACCACAGGTGGCTAGATTGGGATAGTGTCTGACTCAAGGCAGGACAATCTATAGACTTGGCCAGCAGCCTATTTAGGTGGACTGGTGTAAGGATACCACCTTATAGGGATGGTGGTATCTAATGGGAAATGCATGAAACATCTTTTCAGGAAGGCTGAATGTGATATTCAGAAGAAGTGAACAATCAATTAGAATATAATGGAGCAGAAGTGGTGGGTGGGAGGTGGCCAGAAACCAAACAACAAAAAACAAAGCTGTTGAAATTGTAAGTCAGTGTAAGTCATGAGGTACTTGTATCATGAGATTGGGGCCACAAGGTAGCAGAAAGCCATGAAGCAATAGGACCCATTGATGAACAAAAACCATGAGACAAAACTGACAATATGAGATCCATGAGGCAGCAGAAATGAGACAAGAGCCACAAGGGCTCTTGTAGCTGGAACTACATGGCAGCAAGGGCAACAGGAATTGAAGAGGCAGCAAGGCACGCAGAAGAACTACAAAGAAGCCTGGATTAATATGAACTGAAGCCCCACGAGCCATCTGAAGCTTGCAGGAATCCTAGAGGCTGGAGGCAGGCAAAAGCCATGGACTAGCAATAAGCCGGGAACAGAAAGAAGTTAGTCAGTAGCAGTAGGAGGAGAATAAATACAGCCAGAAAAGTAGTTGAGTCACCATTTTGTGAAGCACTAGAGAAGGGAGCAACAGATGCCTGCAGCTGAGGGGATGACAAGATAAGCCCAGGCTCTAGTGCTGCTTTGGATCATGAACAATTTTCAAGTTTCTGTTCTTCCGTGAGGCTGCCTGTGTAGCTGTTTCTTGTCTTCCTTATTTCCCTGTGAGTGCTTTAATAAATCCCCATCATTAACCTGAGTGGTGTCTTTTCGTTCTGTAATCTGAAAGCTGTTAATACTGATGTGCAATTTTAGATGGGTGGAGAGCGGGGCAGTACTTTCCTGTTGAGTTGCTGCAAAACACAGGTGGGAATTCATTCTTTCATGCCCCCACCAAGCACATGCACTTTTCATTCATTTACGTATTGGTTTATCTTTTTTCTTCATTCATCCATCTAATAAGTTCATTCACTTACTCATGTACTTAACTCAACTCATTCACATTCATGCATTAATGTAAGCATTTTACTCATTTATTTGCTCATTTGTTTTTTCCTGTGTACATTCACATAATTTTTCCATCCATTTTTCCTACAAGCGTTATGTTGAATTCTTTCTGCATGTTGGCTCTCTACTCAATTCTGGGGAAAGCATATACTCCATATCCTCCAGGAATTCAGAGTCTAATCAGGTAAGCAGGTAAGTTCACTAAGTCTGGCAGCTGATATAATAGAAATCTAGATGAGGCAAAGCAAGGAAGGAAGCATTGGGGTGGTTCTCCCTGGGTTGGTTGGGTTGCAGAATTACTCCTTTATAGTAGGGTACTTGAACTAATGTTTGAAAGAGGAGTTGATGTTTACCATGTGTGAAGGGAGGAAAAAATATTCCAACAGAGGAACTGCCTAAGAAAAGTATATGAAGAATGTGGAAAAGTTGTATGGGGTTTCCAAAGGGGGCTGAAGGACTGGAGGTGTGGCCTCAAAGTGTAGAGTACCTGCCTTGCAAGGTGCAAAGCCCTGGAGTTCCAAACCTCCAGTCCCACCAAAAAAAAAAAAAAAAGCATGCACATTTCAAAGGGGGCTTAATTTGTTTCACTGCAGCTGGACACAAGTGTGGGAAAGCCATGCAGTCAACCTCAGCTTGATCCCCAAGAACAATGAGAAAGCCTGTAGGAGGGTTTGAAGCAAGGGGCAGCTGACAACAGTGGTATATTAGACATCTCTAGTAGGTTGTAATGAAGGTTCGCATGAAACATGACCTAAAATAATGGTATGTAAAGAAAGGTTACTTAGGTCAGAAGACTTGAATGAGGAACTTAATGGAACCCTTGAGAGGGAGAAAGTTCTGCCAGAGACAAAATGTTTTTGAAGGGAGATTTTAAAGAATTAAGGAGAATTCTGACTGGTTGGAGTTGAGGGAAGGCTTCCAGGACGGGAAAGACAAGAAGTAGGACCAGGTGGGAGTAAATAGCCATATTTGGGCTAACATTTCCAGTTTGACTGGCAGGTTCTGCATTTACAGAGAGAGGCAGGAAGGGAGACTGGAAGGTTTCACAAATGTTATATTGATGGTGTAGTATGTCTTGAAGGGACAAGAAAATTTGGGGGAGTCATTGGCAGAAGGTTCTTTTTGTTACTTTTTGGTGTTTTTTTCTCAAATGTTCATTTAAAACAGAAGTAATACAGGCCAAGGCAGTGGTGGCTTACGCCTGTAATTCTAGCTACTTTGGAGCTGAGATTCACAGGATCATTGGTTTTCAAGCGCCAGCCCAGGCAAATGGTTTGCAAGATCCATCCTCCAAATAATCAAGGAAAATGGACTTGATGGTGTGGCTCAAGTGGATGAGTGTGTACTTGCAAGCACAAGCCCTGAGTTCCAAACCTTTAGTCCCACCACTCAATAAATAAATAAATGCATACTACATTATTTAGAAAACTTTCAGATTACCGTACAGAAGGTCTTAAAAAAGCAAAGTCACACTCCACCACCACAGTTTCCCCCACCCCAATATTTCACTTTTGCATCTACTTTCAGGCTATTCTGATTTTATTCTCCATAGGTTTAAATAAAGGCCACTTTTAAAAAATCATCAGTTTTCACACACTACACGTTAATGTCCTTCTGTTTTGACATTGAAAGTTTAAAATCATTTGCACAAGTTTAACTCCTTTATGCTACCATAGTATAGTTCTCTTTGGCTACTTTCTGAATTTAAGTAACACCTTCATTTTTGTCCATGAATTAGAGACAATATTTCTTTTTTTTTTCCTTTGATTTATTGTATTTATTTATTCACCTCCATTCTTTATGATGGTCACCTTATCAAAACCACACTGTATAAATTTTTTTTCATTTTTCTTTTATTATTCATATGTGCATACAAGGCTTGGTTCATTTCTCCCCTGCCCCACCCCTCCCTTACCACCCACTCCACCCCTCCCGCTCCCCCCCTCAATACCCAGCCAGAGAAACTATTTGCCCTTATCTCTAATTTTGTTGTAGAGAGAGTATAAGCAATAATAGGAAGGAACAAGGGTTTTGCTGGTTGAGATAAGGATAGCTATACAGGGCATTGACTCACATTGATTCCTGTGAGTGTGTGTTACCTTCTAGGTTAATTCTTTTTGATCTAACCTTTTCTCTAGTTACCTGGTCCCTTTTCCTATTGGCCTCAGTTGCTTTAAGGTATCTGCTTTAGTTTCTCTGCGTTAAGGGCAACAAATGCTAGCTAGTTTTTTAGGTGTCTTACCTATCCTCACCCCTCCTTGTGTGCTCTCGCTTTTATCATGTGCTCATAGTCCAATCCCCTTGTTGTGTTTGCCCTTGATCTAATGTCCACATATGAGGGAGAACATACGATTTTTGGTCTTTTGGGCCAGGCTAACCTCACTCAGAATGATGTTCTCCAATTCCATCCATTTACCAGCGAATGATAACATTTCGTTCTTCTTCATGGCTGCATAAAATTCCATTGTGTATAGATACCACATTTTCTTAATCCATTCGTCAGTGGCTGGGGCATCTTGGCTGTTTCCATAACTTGCTATTGTGAATAGTGCGCAATAAACATGGATGTGCAGGTGCCTCTGGAGTAACAGTCTTTTGGGTATATCCCAAGAGTGGTATTGCTGGATCAAATGGTAGATCGATGTCCAGCTTTTTAAGTAGCCTCCAAATTTTTTTCCAGAGTGGTTGTACTAGTCTACATTCCCACCAACAGTGTAAGAGGGTTTCCTTTTTCCCGCATCCTCGCCAACACCTGTTGTTGGTGGTGTTGCTGATGATGGCTATTCTAACAGGGGTGAGGTGGAATCTTAGTGTGGTTTTAATTTGCATTTCCTTTATTGCTAGAGATGGTGAGCATTTTTTCATGTGTTTTCTGGCCATTTGAATTTCTTCTTTTGAGAAAGTTCTGTTTAGTTCACTGCCCATTTCTTTATTGGTTCATTAGTTTTGGGAGAATTTAGTTTTTTAAGTTCCCTGTATATTCTGGTTATCAGTCCTTTGTCTGATGTATATTGGCAAATATTTTCTCCCACTCTGTGGGTGTTCTCTTCAGTTTAGAGACCATTTCTTTTGATGAACAGAAGCTTTTAGTTTTATGAAGGTCCCATTTATCTATGCTATCTCTTAGTGCTGTGCTGCTGGGGTTTCATTGAGAAGTTCTTACTATACCTACTAACTCCAGAGTATTTCCTACTCTTTCTGTATCAACTTAAGAGTTTGGGGTCCTGATATTAAGATCCTTGATCCATTTGAGTTAATCTTGGTATAGGGTGATATACATGGATCTAGTTTCAGTTTTTTGCAGACTGCTAACCAGTTTTCCCAGCAGTTTTTGTTGAAGAGGCTGCTTTTTCTCCATCGTATATATTTTTAGCTCCTTTGTCAAAGATAAGTTGCTTATAGTTGTGTGGCTTCATATCTGGGTCCTCTATTCTGTTCCACTGGTCTTCATGTCTGTTTTTGTGCCAGTACCATGCTGTTTTTGTTGTTACTGCTTTGTAATGTAGTTTGAAGTCAGGTATTGTGATACCTCCTACATTGTTCTTTTGACTGAGTATTGCCTTGGCTGTTTGTGGCCCTTGTGTTTCCATATAAATTTAACAGTAGATTTTTCAATCTCTTTAATGAATGTCATTGGAATTTTGATGGGAATTGCATTAAACATGTATCAACATTTTTACTATGTTGATTCTACCAATCCATGAGCATGGGAGATCTCTCCACTTTCTATAGTCTTCCTCAATCTCTTTCTTCAGAAGTGTATAGTTTTCCTTGTAGAGGTCTTTCACATCTTTTGTTAGGTTTACACCTAGGTTTTTGATTTTTTTTTGAGGCTATTGTAAATGGAATTGTTTTCATACATTCTTTTTCCAGTTTGCTCATGTTAGTGTATAGAAATGCTAATGATTTTTCTATGTTGATTTTATATCCTGCTACCTTGCTATAGCTATTGATGATGTCTAGAAGCTTCTGAGTAGAGTTTTTTGGGTCTTTAAGGTATAGGATCATGTTCGTCTGCAAAAGGTATTTTGACAGTTCTTTACCTATTTGTATCCTTTTATTCCTTCTTCTGCCTAATTGCTCTGGCTAGGAATTCCAGTACTATGTTGAATAGGAGTGGAGATAGGTGGGCTCCTTGTCTGGTTCCTGATTTTAGAGGGAATGGTTTTAAGTTTTTCTCCGTTAAGTATAATGCTGGCTGTAGGTTTGTCATATATAGCTTTTATAATGTTGAGGAACTTTCCTTCTATTCCTAGTTTTCTTAGAGCTTTTATCATGAAATGATGTTGGATCTTATCAAAGGCTTTTTCTGCATCTATTGAGATGATCAAGTGGTTTTTGTCTTTGCTTCTGTTAATGTGGGTTTTATTTATTGATTTTCGTATGTTGAACCACCCTGCATCCTGGGATGAAGCCTACTTGGTCGTGGTGAATAATC